CATGGAATGAAATGATAGATAAATTCAATAGAGTGTTTATAAAAATTCACATAGTAAAGTTCTGACTCAGAATACAATTAAGATTTTGGACAGCATTATAAAAATAAAAGCCAACCAAAGCACCAAAAATCAGAGAAAGATGGCTTACATAAACAAAGCATTTAGAAAATACTTTTAAAATGTGGAAAATAGCAATGAATGTTAACAGTAGATGAAGAAAATTCAGAAAGTAAATTCATAAGCAATATGAAAATTGTGCTAGTTATTTTGTCATGATTTTTAAAAAAATATTAAATGAAGCCATCCATTTTGTAAAGGAAGTCAAAAACAGAAATACAGGAATCCAGAACAAAGATAGTGAGTGAGGCAACAGAAGAAATAAAATGTGATCTGTTAGAACTTGGGAAAGAAGTAGAAAGAAAGAAAAATAAATGCAAAAAGGAAGACAAAATTTGAAGGAATGCAAAGGAGAGAAGAAACATAAAAATATATTGTAGGGGGCACAGATTATAAAAGTTGAAGTGTCAAGCACAAAGAAGGGAGATAAAGACACAAATAGGAAAAATTAGAGAGACTGTAATAAATATAGAAGACAGGCAAAATAATAATAGGAGTCTTGAAAAAATGAATAAATATTTATACAATTCTAGAAAAATGTTATTAAATACACATACTAGAAGAACACACAGTCAGCTAGAGAAGTGATCCAGAATGATTAATACTGAGTATAGTCATTAGACTTTAACAATACAGAAACAAATAGGAGGAAAAAAATATGGTAGGATTCAAATTTCTCTGCAGCTATAGAAAATATCAGAATAGTATTGAGCAATATCTAAAGACAATTAAAAGAGAAAGCGTAAGCTCAGGCTTTATTAAAGCCAGGATATAAAGTATGAAGCCACATTTTGTAGGACCAGCTTCCCTGCAAATGTCATGTACAATAATTCTAGAAATATTGTCTCTATGAACTTTCTTAAGGCTCTATTTAGGGAATTGCCAAAGAAATCATGAAATGAAAAGTCAGTGAGACAGAAATAACCTAATTACAGAAATTTGACTAAAATAAAAATGGAACTTAAAGTGGGTCGAACCACACAATTTCAATTTCCATTGTTTCTTCTTTCCTCCTGTATCTTTGCATTTTCATCTGGAGTTTTTTTTTCTGCTTGAAGACAATTTAGTGTTTTCTTTAGTGCTGTGTTCACAGTTATTGCTCTTCCCAAAGTTTATATATTTCATTTTCATTTTCAACGAAATTTTTCACTCAATAAAGGATTTTGATTGGCATTTTTTTCCTGGCAAGAAGTTACTTGTCAATGATCATTGCTGCTTTCAAGTTCATCTGTCTTCTTTAAATTCAGCTACTTTTAACATTTGCTTGTATTTCTCCTAAATTCGCATTACCTCTCTTCGGTCTCAAAATAATTCCACTTACGTATCTTAAACTCTTATTTTCTGTTTTGAAGTGTCCATGCTCATTCTGGGTATCTTCTTCTGACCAGTATATTATTAATAGTTCATAGATGCTACTCTCAACAGTATCTAATGGGCTGCTAAACCTTTATCACTTCTTTCCAAATTTGACTATGATACTTTAGTCCTAAAATTTCAACATTTTATAGTTTTCAGTTTTCTGCCAGATTTTCTAGTTTACATTACGTGTCCTTTAACAGAGTAAAATTGTTATTTTAGGGGTTTTGATAGATCAGTACCTGGAGCCCTGTGAATCTTTTCTGATGCGTGTTTCTGCTGGGTTTTGTTCAGTTGGTCTTTCCCCTTTATATACCTGGATATCTTGGATACTTTTATGTTCCAGACCTTGTTTTTGCAAAACTGGCTGCATAAATAATTTTTCTTGACCTAAGATAGTGTTACTTTCCTCTAGAGATGATTTATCTTTTGTTTCTGCCAGAGCAATATAAACATGGGATTGATTACCTTTATCTGCTTTTAGAAACTGAAATATCCCAAAGCTGACTTGAGAGTTTGCAAGGGTGTTTATCTGTCCAGTTGACCTTTACTTTTGGGTTGCAGCTTCTTGGAAGCCCTCCTCAAAGCTACAGGTATTCATCAGAGCCAAACTCCCCTTGCACACAGATTTCCGCTCTGGTGATCTGTAATAGAATTAGAGTTGGATTCTTTTCTGATGCACTTCACAACTAATAACTACCAGCAGAGATTCAATTATAAAAATAAAGAAGCTATTGAAGTACTGAAGCAAACTACGGAGAACTTTTATATAAACTTAGAGTGGAAAAAGATGATCTAACCATGACTTGCGATTCAGAACTCTCACAGAAAAGACTGATAATTTTTGCCATATAAAAAACTTTAAGAAAAACCTTTTTGCACATCAAGAAATACCATAAATTCAAAGAGCAACCCAGAAAAAATATTTATAATTCTGTCACAGACAAACATGGACTCTTGCTGGAATATATAAATCTCTAAAAATGAGAAAAAATGAAAAATGGGTAAGGGTTATGAAAATACAAAAAAATGTAAGCAGTCTTTAAACACAAATAGATGCTCAAACTAACTAATAATGAAAAAAAAAACAGGAGTTAAGCTTACTCTGAGTTGCCATTTTGTTTTAACACATTGGCAAAAACTGAAAAGTTCAAGAAAACATTCCATCGGTGAGGCTATGTTAAAACAGGTATCCTCATATGTTGCTGATTGGAGTAGATACTGGTGCAATTCTAATGAACAAAACTTTGTCAATAACTATCAAAATTGCAGAAATATTTCACACAACAATCAAACATATGACATATTTCTCACATATACTTGCATAGGTGAAAAATGATATACAGGTTAAGTATCTTGAATTTAAAAAAATCTGAAATGGTTAAAATCCTAAATTTTTTGAATGCCTATGTGGAGACTGAAAGTTTGCTGTTGTCTGTTGTTGCTGTTATTCAAAAGCAAGTATTCTGATGATGCTACTGTGCTGCTTTGTTACCCTGAACACATCATTTTTTCACTATATGAAGAGTATGTCATACATTTCACTGTTAAGTGCTTATGTAGGAATAAGAGTAAGACAATGATTACTTTATTGGTAGCATGTAAATTCAGAGTCAGAAATGGTGGCAACCACAGATTGTTCACAAACGTGGCTGAGAAAGTGACATCTTTGCTTTCTGATGGTTCAAGATACACAAACTTTGTTTCAGGCACAAAATTATTTAAAATGTTGTATAAGATCACCTTCAGACTATGCATAGAAGGTGTGTATTAAACATAAATGAATGCATGTAAAGACTTGGGTTTCCCAAGATATTTCATTAGGCATATGAAAATTTCCAAAATCCAAAATACGAAACACTTCTGGTCCCAAGCATTTCAGATAATGTATAATCAACCTGTGTATGCACAAGCTTATTCATTGCAGCATATTGTCTAATAGCAAAAATTTACATTTGTAATATTGAAATGTGCACCTGTATGAGACAGATCAAGTAAATTATGGTTACTTTATGTGAACTCAGATCATTGTTTTTACTTTCATATATATACCACAGGCCTAACATTTTTATTTTTATATATATAATTATTGTATATAAAATTAAATGCTTAATAACAATATACACTAAAATTAAAACAGTAACATAAATTAACACACACCCTATAACTAAGAAAACAAAAACTTTTGGAAGCATTCCATGCTGACTTTGTGTATTTCTGTACAAACAGGAAGAAAAAGGGCTTTGTCAAGAAAAGGAGAGAATGAGAAAGAGGTTCTATTGGAATATATTATCCAATAATCTGTTTTAGGAGAGCATATGAGTGATGTGGTATATTTTATAAGCCTTTCAATAATAGAACATAATTGAATTATCTTCAGAATCAAGTGACAAATTTGGTGGAAATAAAATTCTTACATCAAAATATTTTTCCTTCAAACTTCCAAAGAAAAGACCCCTGCCCCACCCAAGACTAGACCAGGTTACATACATATACTTACACACACACACACATGCACACATACACACACACACACTCACAAACACATCCTTTGCATTTCACCTTTCGTTGCAATATCATATATATAATTATTTCACTATGGAGTGGCTTCTCCAACATCCTGCAAATTCCATAATAATAAAGAATGTGCCTATTTTATTTGCATCTTTTTTCATATAGGTTTGTGTCAGATACAGATTAAGTGTACAATAAATGAATAAATGAGCAAATGAACAAATTCAAATAAATCCATAAAATGCCTATGTGTTTTTCTTTATTTTCTTCTGCTATTTATAATTAAAGTAAAAGTATCTAAGGAAAGGTACATTTTGCTCTGTAGTGAATATGCTGTATAGTCTAAGTATATGCTTAAAGGGTTTTTTAATTCTATTTTGAATTTAGTACAAATCTGTCTGTTCATGAAGCGTTTTACAGTCTGTTTTGTGTTTGGTTGGTTTTGTTTGTTTGTTTGTTTGTTTCTTGAGACAAGGTCTTGCCATGTCACCTTGGAGTGACATGGAGTGCAGTGACACAATCACGGATCACTGCAGCCTGGACCTCCTGGGCTCAAGGGATCCTCCTCCCTTAGCCTCCCAAGTAGCTGGGACCACAGGTGCACATCACCATGCCCAGCTAATTACCCTGTCTCTACAGTCTGTATTATAGAACTTTTTTAAAAATTTGGAATAATTTGGATTCCAAGGTTAATTATGTCCATTATTAATGCAAGATTTTGGGCAAAAGTGTAAATAACAATAATAGCTAACACAGAGTGCTCCCTTATGTGTCAGATACCTTTCCAGGAGCTTTATTAAACATACAAGTTAATTCCAGATTAATTCTGTGATGTTATGTTAATTTTATATCGATGAGTCATCTGAAACAAGCAGAGGTTAAGAAAGTTGTCCAAAGTAAGGAAGCCATGTGGGAGAGAAGAGACTCTTTTTTTTTCAATGTTCAGTTTCCTTTAATGACCCCCGTCTCCCTGAAGGGGCAGATGCAGGCAGCTAGGCGTTGGCAAGAGATGTTCACTTGAAGATCGTGCCCTGATTGAAGTCTTGGCCAACATGCTGGAAGGTCCCCTCCCAGGAAAAGTACTCTCGAACTTTCCCTATGAATATATTTGGATTCCAAGTGTCTCCTCGCTGCCAGGATCCAGTTTCCTCCGTGTGTATGATTCATAGTCCACCTGCCAATTTGCACTCAGAGGAAAGGCAAGCTCCTGGCCTCGGAAGACCCAGACTCTAGAAACGGAGCTGCTATTGTTGGTTCCAAAGGGGATGAAACTGGTGAAGGCATTCTTCCTCAGCTTGTCCAGTCGCTGGAACATTCCAGTGATGAGATTGCAGCTCATGAAGATCTGACTGAGTGAGTTCATCAGGGCAGCGATACTCTGAGTATCACAGGGACTAGCCATCCTCATCAAAGTGCTCCCAAAAATATGGCAGTGCCACAGGGAGTGTGTCCTTGTTGGAGTCCTTGTTGCTTAAATTCATCCAACAGGGCCAGGTGCGGCAGCTCACGCCTGTAATCCCAACATTTTGGGAGGCCGAGGCTGACGAATAACGAGGTCAGGAGTTCGAGACCAGCCTGACCAACATGATGAAACCCCATCTCTACTAAAAATACAAAAAATTAGTTGGGCATAGCGGTGGGTGCCTGTAATC